TGTATGTATGTATGTATGTATGTGTGTATGTATGTATATATGTATGTATGTGTGTATGTATGTATGCATGTATGTTCATAGAATAGTAAACAGTGTATCACAACCTACTTCTTTCCTTTCAACTCAGGCAGGTGATTACCGATCAATGCAGCTAGTCCTACCGCCCCCGCACCTTCGACCACCGCTTTTTCTATCTCCACCAGACGCAAAATGGCCAGCGCAATTTCTGATTCACTGTAAAAGCAGAATTCACAACTTCACAAGTAAAGCACACCTGAACAAGTCATCACTCACGTTTAGAACTTAGAGCAAGGGATCAGCCTGTGGCAAAGAAACATTCGAACAAACTCTGCTGTCACGCAAACTCGCTTCCTAATTTTGTGCTGGTTTATTTGTATAGTATAGCCTCGAGGAAAACGCTGGAGCGTAATTTCGAATCATTTTTAAATTCTTGTTTTGAACCATGGATTGAGAAATGAGGATCATTAATTGTTGTCTCAGCAGAATCTGTCATTGTTATCCTTGCAGAATTATTATCCATTGTCACCACAGCTAAATAATAAATGGCTGTTATTTTTTTCGACGTCATTTAGTTCATTTCAAAATGCGGAAATGCACCGCTGCGAGGTGCTTGCTACGTAATACTTGAATTGCTTCCATAACCGGTCGTCTAATTTGTTCACTAGGTACACTCGCCTTGAACTCAAATTCACCCTCCTTCAATCTTTTCTGTTTCTAAACGTCTTTCGGCGAGTGGTACTGCGTCAGATGACTGATTGCGCCAATCCCCGTGAACTTTCACTATCGTCTTCCCAACTTTTATCCGGTCCAAGGAAGTAAGAATTGGGCCACATTGTGAGATTTTGGTCAAGGTCAGATGTCAGTGGCTAGTGGCAGACAACCATGCACCGTGCACCGTCTCAGCCTATTCAAAGGGTATTTACCTTACTTGCAAGTACTAAATTTTTCAGAAAATTAATCACTTTAAAATGAATGAATCACTTCAAACAAAATGTATTTTGACACATTCAAAAGTAAATCCTCACCCAACTGTCACAACCTTATCCACGAATTTCTTCGCTGTTTTGTACGCGTTGTAACCAATCAGTGGCACGGATAAACCTAAAGCGTCAGATTAATGTGATAATCATGATTAAAGTGAAGGTGGTAATTTTAGCGACGATAATAAAAGCAGATAGTTTGAGCGGTCTATTCGGCCAGTGCATGCTTCCAGTCTAAGGTATTAATGTGAAACATTGCTGATTACTTACCCCAGCAGGAACAAACATATGCTGTGAATAACAAGATGAAATAATGCGAACAAACGCATGAGACAACAAACGGAAATATGTGATGCCACTGCAAGAACAAAGAAGCTGAAATGGCAGCATCCAGGAGACGTTGCAAAATGAATCAGCCATCGCTAGACCAGAACGGGGTTAGGCCGAGTTCCAAGAAACAGCAAGCAACCTATCCG